TTCTGTCATAACCCAACACTTTATGTAGTAAGTTTCAGATGTACACAGAACTCAACCCATCAAATTTCAACAAACTCTGGTGTTGTAAATCGATGCGATGGGGAATGTTAGGGTTAATGAAACCGGTATACAGGCTATGCTGAAAGCGTTGTATATTGTACTATTGAATAGCCCAGTGTGTGAAAGTTCCAGGTGAGGAGAACCTTAATTTACTAGTTAATTTCTGACTAAATATCTGAGAAATGGAGGCAGTGTTGTGACTTTGGACTGGTTGTTTCATCTGCCTTTGTGCACACTGCTGGCAGCGTGTAAATTTTTAAGCCAGGTTACCACATTTTTGTGTCATTTGGTGTGTGTTTCATATTAGTAAAAGTTCTCTGGTCAATTTCGCTGTACACGTAATATGTTACTTCCTTCAAAATTTAGCCCAGTTGAGTTATCTTATATGTTTTCATGTACATCACTTGTGTTTTTCTCGGAATTTTTTTTTCAGAGAAGGGAAATTGATGAACACATCATGAGAATGCAGTTAGCCAAAGAGGAATTTAAAAGGAAGAAAGAGCTTGCAAATAAGGTAAAATATTGTTTAAGTCTTTAAAATGGCCTTGCTTTCTCAAACCCACTGCACATACCAAATGTGTTGCGCTGTTTCAATTACAGTGGACTTGGGCCATTGAGTTGCAAAGATGTTTTCTAATTCACTTCTTTTCTTATTTAATGACTCAAACTTGGCCCAGTCTACCAGCCACGTTGTCATGCATGTTTATATCGCTCACTGTAGCTGATAATCATGCTGCTGGTTAAGCACAGTCTCATGGTTTGGATGTGCTGATGGTTGTTGGCATGTGTTTAATTGATATTGTTATGTCAACGACTCAAGCAGCTGTTTCCTTCAACTGTGCTTTTCCGCTTGCTTTATTAGTTGGAGGCTCATATCGGGAATGATACTGGTATGTATCTTCTAATATATTTATAATCTGAGAAGGTAAAAAACTTCAAATCTCACAGTTTTTATAATGATTATAAATTGAAGGAAAATGAGACCAGTGGGCAGAGTGTTCCTTCGTCTCCGGAGAAGAGCCAAGATACGAGTGGGAAGAGCCAGGGAGACTCCACCCCCACCAGAGGAAAGAGGCAGCCTGACCCTATGGATTCTGGGAGTGACAGCAGCAAAGGGAGAACACGGTATTCAAA